TWAKRTWWRKAAMTMGMTTTMSAAAAAAAAAGGAACTTCTTTAGAGACTCAAACTTTTGAGTTTATGTCGCACTGGTGACGTCAGTTTAATAGTTCACTGTTGGCACGGTGTAWATGTCCTGTTATGGGCAATGGTACACATGAACTTCACACAAGCTTTTYTGAAAAATATAGGCATCCATAAGCAGTAATATASTTCTRATACGACTATCCTWTATTTTGAACCATTTTTAGGGTGTGAGAAAGATCCAACCAAACCAAGGCAGTAAAGGCAATGATAGATACCGACTTGTGTTGTCAGATGGTGTCCTCATCCATACTTGTGAGCATGAATCGTTTGATATTAATGTCAACTTGWATCCRTAAACTAGTATCTTTCTTTTAGCTGCCATGCTGGCTACTCAGCTTAATGACAGAGTGACAGATGGTGAGATTGAAATGAAGGCAGTTGTGCGACTTGACAAGTATATTTGTAARATTATTCAAGAAACAAGGTAGTTACAATGGTCTTGTTTGTCCTTAATTTATAATAAGTAATATTGCGATAATCCAATAGTGAAAAACCTGTGACAAAAAGATTTTAGGTTAAACCAAGAAATGAAGCAGAAAAAGCTATGGTTTTTAGGAAAAATCATATACTAATAGTTGCTCTTTCCAGCTTTTTGTGAAGTTCATTAGTGTTTTTAGTTGGAAACATAGTGGCTTCCTCTTGTTTRGGTACAGTAACCAAAGGAGGYCCTTAACAATGTGCAACATATATTTAAAAAATAAAATAATTGTGCCAAATCTCTAATTATTTTCTTTATATTATTTTTATTAAATTTCTGAAAATGACTTTATTTATTTATTTAATCTAGGCTAATGTAAATGAAAAAAAAAAAAAAAAATTCTCTATTGAGAGTAAATTTGCCAATTGTCAATTGATTGTTTATTATTTTTAGAAAAGTTCTAATCATTCTTGACTGTACTGTGATGAAGTCTGCTGCTGAAGTTCCTGGAAAGATTGGCAACCCCAAAAGTGCTGCTGACCTAGTCAGTGGGCAGCCAGCACAGCAAAATGGCCAGGCAAGGTCTGATTCAGGTAAAAACATATGTTACAGTACATATAGATAACATCAGGGTTTATTTTTTTTTGTGCTCAAAATTGTTCTTTGTTTTGTGAGGGAGTTAAAATTAGTTAGATAAATGGTGATGATTGTACTATACATTTCTAGACTCTTTTGGTAATCGTCAAAATACATCAGCTCAGAGACAACCACTTCAAGCTCAAAACAAAGGTATTTGCTGTGGACCTATCATGATGATTATAATRATAATGATGAACAATATGATGATGATTATCATTGTCATTCACAGTCTCTCATTCATTGTTTCAGTTCATCATTTTCAATCATTTTTCTGTTCTATTTTATAAGGTTTTGGTGGCAGTGCAAGTTCATTTGGTAAAGGCTATGGAAGGTATGTCTTTGGAATGACATACTGCATGTCACAATATATTCCTTATTGAACAAATACTTTGTCTTTATAAAGATTGATTAAAATTCCATGTATTTTCCAGTAACCAGCCTGTTAATCGTGGAGGCAMTGGACAAAAGACTGTATTTCCTATTTCTGGTCTCACTCCATATCAGAATCGGTAAGCAAAAWTCATTATGTTTCCTCTACGTCTTTTGTTTTACTTRAAAGATATATCCTGTATACATTTATTCCCTACCCCTACCCCTGTGGTGAAATCCATTTTTTCCCRGCTGCAAGTGGGAGGATTGGYAAACAGGTAAACACAGGGTATGCAAATAAAATTCTTTATCTCTAAGGAGACATTTCTAAGTAAATGATACCAAGCATAAACAAAAGTGCCTCTATTTCAGGTGGACAATTAGAGCAAGAGTAACTTCAAAGTCTGGCATTAGGACATGGAGTAACTCCAGGGGGGAGGGCAAGTTGTTCAATGTGGAACTCGTGGATGAATCGGTAAGTGGCATTATTTGGAAATGAAGSAGATTGCATGAGTAAAGAGATTTCATTCGATGGTTACAATACAATATTATAGTAAAAATGTTTATGTTTTTATAGAATGACTTGTTCATCTCATTGTGCAATCTGAACAACAAAATATGCTCAGCTTGTAAATAATATTGTCATTGACCATACATAATTTATAGTGTACTGTTCCTTATAATTGTTTTTTCTTTTCTTATTTTAATTTTCAAATTAGGGGGAGATTCGTGCCACAGGATTCAATGATGCTGTTGACAAGTTTTATAATTTGCTGGAAGTAAACAAGGTAAGTTTTAATACTTTCTTATTCAAAGACATGAAAATTATGAACATTTTGAAAACAATGTACTTATCTTATGGATTTTAATAGAATTTTAATTTTTTTTTCTTTTAAGGTGTTCTATATCAGTAAAGGATCACTAAAAACAGCCAACAAACAGTATTCTTCTGTTAAGAATGACTATGAGATGTATTTGAATCATGATACAGATATTGAACTGGTGAGGATTGTATTTTGAAATATTTTTATAGAAGGCATGATTGTATCCTGAATCAACCAATACTTTTGTACCCTTTCATGTGTTTGTTAATCATTAATTTCCTTTTCTCATTCATTTGATTATCCATCCATTTATTTATTCATTTGTTCATTCATTTGCTGACAGATCTCACTCCCATCCATTTCATTAGTTCATTTTTTTGACTTTTGTTCCATTTATTTGGCACACCCATTTATTTTCCATTCCTCCCACCATCCTTCCATTCAGTTATTCAATTGCTTGCTCATATGTTCTTTTAAGTTATCTCCCAACTTTAATGCCTACATTTCTGTTAACAGTGTACAGAGGCCTGTGATCTCCCTTCTATTCAATACAATTTTGTTAATATTGGAGACCTGGAAAATACAGAAAAAGACAGGATGGTTGGTACGTAATTCTTAAATTATGGAAAAATGCTTAACTAGTTTTTATTGTCTTACTAACCTCAAGAACAATGTCCAGAACATTTTGGTAATTGTGTAACCAAATGATTTCCTTTCTTTTGTGCATATTGTACAATATTTTTTTAGTAAGTTTAAATGTTTTGTTTATAGATATCTTGGGTGTGTGCTCTAAGATAGATGATGTCACTCAAATCACAACCAGAACAACAAACCGACAGGTAAAAACACTCAAGTACATTATTATTGAACATTCATTGTAAATAGATAACATAGAGGGATTGTAATACATTATTTTGTCTCTATTTGGATCAGGTTTCTAAAAGGGAAGTTACTTTGGTGGACAGATCTGAAAAAAGTGTGCAAGCTACACTCTGGGGTGATGAGGTAAAAACAACATTATTGAAAATGATTGTTCAACTCTCACTGATAGATATTTTGTATCTTTGGTGTGATTTCTGTCCATTTCAGGCCGAGAAGTTTGAGGAATATGTTGGGAAAACACCAGTCTTGGCAATTAAAGGTGCCAAGGTATCTGACTTTGGAGGTAGGTTGTAATGATTGCTGTAATAAACATTGATGAAAATGGATGAATACACTGCGCTATATAAAAATGTCKACTATATGCTGCTTAAATAATCTCCAAAGAAATATACAAATCAGAAAAGAGACACGGAAAAGTGTTGTGATCAGGGCTGACAGAACAAGACTATTATGTACGTCAATGCAGTGCTCAAACAGAGCAGGCTTGATTTGTTTAATTTTATGTACACTTCACTTCAGAGTGACCACACACAAATGAACTTTTGTTATAGAAATATTAAAACCTATATCTTTGATTCATAGGTCGTTCCCTGTCCATTCTCAGTTCCTCTAATCTGATGATAAATCCACTTGATCTAAAGGAGGCAATGAGTTTAAGAGGATGGTAGGTGACTGGACACATTTGGTTTGATACAAGTCTAATATGAATTGTGTGACAACTGACAGATGTCATTCACCAACAGGTATGATAATACTGGGAAGAACCATGATCTGCAGTCAATATCCAACCAGAGATATGCWGATGGAGGTATACAGATTATTATAATTATTGTTGGTCAGGGCTATTTGGAGAAGTCTCCCACAAGTCTGTATCACACACAGTCATTTTGATCTCATGACTGACTGCCAGAGAACGAATGAAAGCTATATGTGCAGTAGCAGACCTGTATTGTTGATTCTACAGTAGAAAGTCTTCTTTTGTCTACTTTGTTATTGTGTACGTCTARTTACTATTGATCAATAAGAGCAGAGGAAGATTTGTTGTTGAGCTATACTGTAAACATACAAAATGTATATCATTTCCCAGGTTAATATTGTTAATAGTGACCATGACAATTGCTTGATATCATAGGTGGAGGRAAGCTTAAGTTCTTATCAAGCATCAAGACTGAACAACTTGGCATGGGAGAAAAGGTAGTTTTAACTATTAAAATAGCTTTAGTATTCTCTCATTTTTTGTGAATTGAAATCCACTTTTAACCATATGGTCCTAAAAGTCTCACTTTTAACTTTACAATAATGTGTGTACTTATTTCCAGCCTGACTATTTCTCTGTCAAAGCAACATGTGTCTACTTAAAGAGGGAAAACTGTCTGTATCAGGTTTGTATTGATCTTGTAAATTTGTAGTTTGTGTTATCTCCAGCAGATGTATAAATGTGTCCGTGCAAAGATACAGGGGAACTTGTACCAAATGCTTTAGAAATTCTTTCTATTTTTTCAATAATTACTGAACTAGTAAAAAATTTATGTTCATTCAAATGTTTCTTTAAAACAGGTCAAACAGGTTTTGTAGTTCATATTTGACCTCTCTATAATAAACTATTTTGCATAACAGGCATGTCCAACTGAAGAGTGCAACAAAAAAGTGATGCAAGACGATGATGGCTATCGATGTGAAAAATGCAACCGAAAATTTCCAGACTTCAAATATCGTCTTATACTGAATGTATGTATTGTAGAGAATGATTTTTGTACCCATATAAACCGTGAATGCTCGCTCTTCTTATATTTAAAAATGCAAACAAGCTTGTTCACACTAACCAAGCATAAAGCTAAACAGGCTTCATTGAAAAACAAATTTGTGTTCTGTTCTTCAGGCCAATATTGCAGATGTGACTTTTAGTCAGTGGGTGACGTGTTTCCAGGAATCTGCTGAAACAATCCTTGGAAGAACAGCAAGAGAAATTGGAGAACTCAAGGATGGCGTAAGTTGTTTATAATTTTGTCCTTCAAACTTGATTTATTCAACATTTTGTATGCTAAGTGATTAAACTAGGGTTTGCTTTTGCAGGGCAATGAAGCAGCATTTGACAACATCTTTGCAAGTTCAGAATTCAAGAGTTTTGTCTTCAAAGTTAGAGCAAAGATGGAGACCTACAATGTATGTAAATATATGTTCAACACTAGAAACTTTGACTTTAGCAGCGAAAGTAGAAAAGATATATAATTTTTGATAACAGTATTATAACAATGAAAAACAAGTAAAGGAAATACACTCTTCACTTTGARTTTTTTTTGACTTTCTGGTGTGCATAATAGCCCACATCTGGTATTTTGGGGTAGACTAACCATGTACAAAAGAATTKGAGATGATGCTCAAGGGAAACAATAGATAATACATTCGTTTTCCCAGAGATTTATCTTCAATTCTTTTGTGCATGACCATTTAACCAGAATATRGMAAGTGAGCTTTTTACAAGCTATGATTTTTTTTACCCAACAGGAGGAAACAAGACTAAAGTGCTCSATTGTTGCTGTTAAACCTGTTGATTACAAACAGGACTCTAAGAGATTGATTGATGAGATTCAAAAACTAATGAATCAATAAGCTTGTCATGCTGAACCATACTCTTCAGTTAAATGTTTATATTTTGCATTTAAGTAAAAGTGCAAATCYCATTAGTAAGTGACAGTCTGCATCATTCTATCAAACAGTGTTATACACAACTGTACAAACATTGTTAAATAATGCAGCATACAGTATGCAAACTTCAAGTTTTCAAGTAATGCTCCAGTTCACCATGTGTCACTAAGAAAGATATGTATTTCTAAACTGAAAATGGTTAGTTATCTCAGGTGAAATAACACTTTGAAAAGTAAGCAAGCTTTAATTGTAAGAAAAGAAAACTATTACACATTTTTCAAGTCAGTTAGAAGTTACATATGCTAATTGAAGATTCAGTAGAGTGTCCTTGCCAATATCATGAAACAAATGGTTATCATTAATGCGATGGATTTGATATTATAATTAGGTTTTGTAGTAACTATTTTTCAAGGTTTTGGTTCAAGCACTCTACTAAAATTCAAAGAAAACAAACAATATATCACATGTAAAAGAAGTCTGATATGTGATCCTTGTTGAGTTAATATAATAAAAGTCTACAATATCAAGCAGTTCATTTATTTCAAAACGGATATGAATGGGCAGTTGTGTAAAAAGGTAAATTTAACACTGTAAAAGAGCAGGTGAAACAACTTACTGATGTTTCGGATGTTAATCCTTTGTCAGAGTAAAGACAACAGGATATGAAGGGCACTAACAGGGATCTAAAAGGATATTACTGGGGTTTTGAAATGGAATATATCTAGAAGGGAAGATACCTATATTTTAGACTAGACTACTGCACTAATGGTATTTAGACTACTAGTCTTTATGTACCATTCAAAATGAAGCTCATGGTTACAGAGACATGAGTTAAAATGTTTATTAAATTCAAACTTTATTTAATTGTTTTAATTTATTGACTTTCAGTCAGTATATTTTACTCAACAAYATCTTCTGTAAGGATAAATAATTGTTTACTAGAGGTGTAGGACTGCATGGCTGCTTGCGTGGCAACTTTGTAGTCTTGTAGTTTATGCCTTGTGCAAGGCTGAGCATGGAATTTCCCATCTMTGTGCAGTTGACAGATATCATCTACCATTTTGAGCATTTCTTGACCTGGAATTTGCAGGTGGCAAATTAGTACATGGTGACATAGTCACTAGCTGGGTGGCCCTTCATGGTTTTGCAAGATATTATCCGAATGGTTTACTAGCTATTTGTTAAAAGGAAACAATAGGATTTAAAAGCGAGAAAACAATGAGCATTGTTTTTTTCCTCCAATCACAAGAAACCTTACAAACTCGTCAAGGATAYCASCACTATATTTYGCAGGAGTCTTAATTATTGTAATAATATTTGCAGCCAAACAACTCACTTTTTGGATTTTGTTTCTTATCCCATCCTGTTCTCCAAAAGCCTCTGAGTCGAATATCATTAAATATCAGTTGACCCTGTTGATAAATAAAGTTAGATTAATGCTAATCGGGCCTTSACCAARCCAACCCTTGAGATGRTATCCTATGAACAAGTCTGTACAGTTCCCTCCCACATGTCATATCTGATGTTGTTAGCTAGCACCCTCCTCAAGAAGATCAGAGGAGGACACTGGACTATTAGGAGCAGAGCTGTTATCTGCAAGCCTATCGGAGAACTTTGGAGTGGAAACTTTGTCAATGTTTAACCAAAGTTCTCAGACAAGGGATAAATCAAGACAACTCTTAACCCCCTTGATGATAGAAAGTGGAAGTGATCCAGTGAAGGAAGCTGAAGATTGGTGTTAGCTGCTGTACAATTTTATCGAAGTTGATTGATCACCAGAAGGATTATTTATATTTCCTACAAAGATACACTGCACCCCAGTCCTGGCCTCTCGTTTCCGACGCTCGCGGAATCGCTGGGGAAAGAGAGTCCAGTATAACTTGCATGCGATAATATAAGCGTGCACATTCATTCTTTTCTTTCTCTCAAGCAATAGTTGGGTAGCCTATGATCAAATGCTTGCTATGCAAGGATGAAAATAGCAACTTACTGTTGGTACAGCAAAAGGCTTTTTAGACATTCCTCCATAAGTTACTAATGTCCCACCATGGCTATGGAAAGAATTGTGCAATGTATTAAAAAKGTATTTATCCCAAAATTACAAAACTCTAATAGTGTGCAACATTAATATTGTTAAGTGCTGTAAACATTTTTACCCAAGACGCCTGCTCAGCTCTGTTGCACTTTTACCACCAATGCAATTAAAACCAAGTTGAGGTTTTAGAACATCCTAATAGCAAAAATAATCATATTGAATCAATATTTTTTTACGCTAACTAGATCTTAACTGCTTAGGGAAATAAAAAACATATTCAATTCCATTATGGCAGAAATTGGGGCTGAAGGCCAAATGGCTTTCAGTCACACAAAGACAATAGAATATACTGAAGCAAAGGATTTTGTATATCAAAGACTGAAGGCAAACATTTAATAAATAGACCTTTTCATGGTTAAAACCAAAGCGAGCAACATCAAGAATTATTTCCTGACATTGCAAAAGGATGCAAAAGCTCAAAGATGACAACTTTTTGGGTTAATGCCTGATTTTGCCTTGCTTTGTTGCGAAACCACAGGRTCCTTACARAATTTGTTTCCTAACTGCGAAAGTGGTTTTTGACAATGCTTGACCACTGTTGTTTCCAGTTGTTGTRGATATGATCCAGCAGCCATAATTAATCATTGCTGTACATTAATAAAAACACATGCAGGTTCTATCATTTATACCTTCATAAACTGAGTCATCTCAGGAGTTCTGCAAAATTCCTCTGTCAAAACATAAGTTGCACCTAAATCAGTGAGCTCTCTMTTTAGATCCTCTAAGTTTGGTCTGAAAGTAATATAAAGGTATAAATAGTCTATGATAATAAAGTGTTAGTAATATTTAGCAAAGATTGTAAAACATCAAAGGTACCTATCACGAACTATGTTGATTGTTTGTATATCCCATGCTGCAGCTAATTGAATTACAGCTCTTCCAACACCACTATTGGCACCATTTTGAATTATTGTACTTCCTACATAAAAAAGATATACATGTTGCATGATTCCTGTAAAAAAAGCCAATCTCGTACCCCGAGCCTTTGTTTTCCTGGCCAGCGTTTGTCGACGGCGCTGGCCAAGAAAAATGAAGGCTTGGGGTACAAGATTGAGAAAAAGCCAGTTAAATTAAGCTTATTACCTGGTGTTAAATTCTCAAAGTCTTTAAGCATTCTATAAGCTGTACATGGGTTCACTGTTAAAGTTGCAGCAAGCTCCAGTGAAATGTTATCTGGGATTTTTATTAATTCATCTTCAGTTAAAACATGATACCTTGACCATGCACCTGTAAAATATGAAAAAGTTTCAAATGTGGTAACAGTTAACACTATCTATGTTTGGTGAATATGGACTTGTATGATTGTGTAATTAAAAGATGATTAAATGGAAAGAGTAAAGGAAAACAATGCACATTATATATAGTGCTTGCACTTAAAACGTGAAACAACTAGTACTAATTACTACTAAATAGTGTTGATCTACAATAGGAAACAAAGGAATCAAGTATAATTTATCACCTATTTTGTAGTATTTTATATTTCACCCACTTAGTGCAAGCACTTTATGAAAAAATAATAATTACCTAATCCACTTTTACCAAAGATAACAAAATCACCCTCTTTCAAGCCCTGAACATTTTTTCCAGTCTTGATAATGCGACCAAATCCTTCATTGCCACCAACTGCTGGTAATTTAGGCTTAATTGCATATGACCCTGAAAAAAAGGCAGTGTTCATACATTATGATTAGACATCAGAGGATAATTTGCAAAGGGTCTTTCCTAGACTGGATTGATCATACTATTCCAAAATGAACTTCATTCTTGAGGCCTTGAATTTAAAACTTGATTCTAAAAAATGTACTCTACAAGTGACAATGCATAACACCATCAGCCATCAATCACACCTTGTATTGTGTTGATATCAGCAGGGTTGATAGGTGCTGCTATCATATGAACACCAATTGATTCTGGTCCTATCTCATTTCTGTCAACAAAATCTAGCCTAGAAAATTAAAACAACAACACCATTAGAACAAAACAGTGTTACATGACAACTTTAAAGATATCAAAACAATTTTACATATCAACACAGTTAGAGATATATGGACGACGAAAAATAATCTGGAGAAATAATGAGTTAATATTACGCTCATCAAAGTAGGACAAAGATCGACAAATTTCGAATATTTTGACTGTACTGAATTCATTATTCTTGCCTTAACACTTTACCAGGATCGCCAAACTCATCATAAACTAACGCCTGTGCTTTGTAGCTTGCATATCTACAAGTATTAAACAGATTAACACCGCTATAGCTCGATAAAACACCTTTAACTTTTCCAAACACAGAAAGTCCTCTGATGGCTGCCATGACCAGCGGGCTTGTATTGCAGGCTCAAGAGCGGTAAGCAGAAGTACAGGAAACCCAAAATGTTATCAAGATAGCCACAGCTAATTGTAACTGAAGTTTTTATCTAAAATATAATGAATCGCATTTAAAAATATCTTGTTCGACTGAAATGACCACCTTTGAATGATATTAAAAAAAAAAATACTGTAGAACCCTATTTTTTATGTTTTTTGTTTGCGTTTGCTTTTATTTTTGTTCTTTTCTTTTCTACTCAATGTAGTTTTAAACCATTTGAAATAATCTCGTTTTGGTTTTATCTAATAACTCTTTATAAGTAKTTTTAAATTAGTAACTTTTTGTTTGTGTCGTTATGGTTACTGAATGTGTGWAAGGACGCTAAGCTATAATCTGATTGGACAATACACAATTGATCATTTGCATATTGGCTCGAARAGAGTAAATATGGCGAACTGAACACGAAACAGGCAAATTTTTAGCGTTTTCTCAATTTCTTCGGRGCCGCAGCAGTTTAGACACATRGTTYTCAAGTKTTTTACAAAATGAAAGTCTTGTTATMRTTGTTTTTAATGTAAATGGCCAATTCACTGGCAGCGAAAAGAACATTTCTTGGRTCTCAATCATCACAAAGTCAAGTTTTGTTTTGACATCCAGACGAAACTGGCGAAGAAATGCTAGAGCAGAGTCTTGTTGAACCAGAAGAGCTAGATGAAAGCAACTTTGTAAGTARTGTATAGTTTATTGTTCAAGTCGATGCTTGATTTATTGAATATAATTATTACTTGRATTACAAAATATATTTTTCATTAAAGTTTTATTGTAAACTATAATCAGAAACTTGTTAAGCCTAAAACTAGCAGCTTTTCCTAATATTCATTTGACAATTAAACATGAGATTACTATTTATACGACAAGAAAAGACTTGAAGTACACTAGTCATGGTATTACCGCTTGCAGCAATAGTTTAT